TAGATAATACCAGCATCCTTGCCTTGGTCCACATCTTTGTAGAAATGTCTATAGTGTTTCCACATTTGTAAAGTTGCTGGGTTTAGGAGCTGTGGTATAAATATTTTATGTCATTTATTTTTAAAATTATAACCTTCATAAACTAACACTTTAGGTTTTGTCTTTTATTCAAGCTCCCGGAAAAGCGCCCCACATTTCAACAACTCTTATCTGCCATTGAGCCACTTCGGGAGAAAGACAAACCTTGAAGAAGAATTTCGGGGAGTTGATGAGAATGGATATACATGTTGGCCAATATTTTCATTCTTCTTTGAAGGAAAAGTAGCAAGGCACAATGTAATTTAGCTAGTTCTTCTTACTGGTGTTCTGTGTGCTAGTTGTCTATTATATTATGTAGACATTAACAAGGTAGGAAACCAAAGATTTCCTTGACTTTTAAGTCAAATGAGTCATTTTGTTTATGCTGTTCTTAGCAGAATACTTCCCATCCTATAGCAGAAGCATATTTTCTGGTTGCCATGTGGAGAGGGTGTGAACCATGTGTAAACACTGAACAAAGTTGCGAAATTATTTGTTGGAATATTTGTTTTTTTCTTTCTATTGTCACCATCATAATTAAATATGTTGTTAGCATGTACCAAAATGTGGACATTTGCCTTCATGTTTCAATGGTCTCAAAGGGTAGCATGTAGGAAAATCAAGTAGACAGTTTATTAAAACAGAGATTCCGACAGTCCACCCCAGAGACACTGGATCTGAGGGCAGCCCTGAAATTTGTGTCTCTAACAGACCTCCAGAGACTGCTGCTGCTGGTGGTCTGAACTGCACTAAGGGACCTCATGAGGTGGTGGACCATTCTTTTTTTTTTTTTTTTTTTAATTGTTGTTAGCGGCTATTAAGTTGATCCTTGACTCATGATGATTCCATGGACAATGAAATGAAATACTACCTGGTCCTGCAACATCCCCATAATCAGAGCACTGGGAAGAAGATTGCCAGACCTTTCTTCTTCATCTATCTTAGTCTACAAGCTCCACTGAAACTTGTTCAGCATCATAGCAACATGTAAACTTCCACTAACAAAGGGGCAGGCAGTGCTGCACGTGAGGTGGATTGGCCAGGTGGACTGGCCAGCACCTCGGCCTCCTGCATGAAAGGAAAGAACTCTACCACTGAATCACCACTGCCTCTATGGGGCATCATTTTTGTTGCTAAGCGCCATCAAATAAGTTCCAACTCATAGTGACCCTGGATAGGGTTTCCAAGGAGCAGCTGGTGGGTTTGAACTGCTAACCTTGCGGTTAGCAGTCCCATGCTTATCCTATGGCACCACACCAAGACTCCATGCGTATCCCATAGTGCCACACCAGGACTCCAGTGTTTATTCTATAGTGCCATACTGAGACATCATTATTTGGCCTGTAATTCAAACCAAATGGCACCATTTTCATCTGATATACAGATTAGAAAAATGACTTCTTATATAAATATAAACCTAAAGTTGCTGTTAAGTACCGTGAAGTTGGTTCTGACTCATAGCAACTGTGTATAGTGTTTCCGAGGCTGTAAATCTGTGCAGAAGAAAATCTCATCTTTCTTCCACGGAGTGGCTGCTGGGCTCAAACCACTGACCTTGCAGTTCGCAGTCCAGTGTTTATCCTACAGACCCACTGCGCTCCCCAAAGCTAAAGCTGTTGTTGTTGTTGTTGTTGTTAAGTGCCATCGAGTCAGTTCTGACTCATAGCAACCCAGTATACAGTTTCTGAGGAGCTGGTGAATTTGAACTCATGACCTTGTGGTTCAAACTGACCTTGCGATTGAGTGCTTACCCTACAGAGCCATGCCAGGATTCCATATATTAAATATGTTTCACACGGAGCAAAATTTTAAAAGATGTTAAGTCTTAAACCTTGTTGTTGTTATGTATCGTGGAGTTGGTTCCGACTCACAGTGGCCCTGTACAGGGTTTCCGAGGCTGTACATCTTTATGGGAGCAGAAAGCCTCATCTTTCTCCCACCTAACAGCTGATAGTTTTGAACTGCTGACCTTGAGGCTGGCAGCCCGACTCATAACCACTACACTACAAGAGCGCCTTTCTTAAGCCTTAACCATGAACAATTATGACTTAGTATCACCATGGCCTCTTAGCTCTAGAATTTGTTAGATTGTTGCTTTTTTAATCTTTTGAAATCTTTGAATTGTAGGCTGTATGGTTTCTGACTAATTTGATAAGTGAGAGTCCCATTTCATTCTTCCATCTTGATACAAAAGGTATAGAAGTACTATTTAAGCATTCCATGGCTCTTGTAGAGGGGACTTGTAGAGGATTTTCTGCTACTGGCTCATGGATTATTGAACTCTTTTGAAACACTCATTTGTCTTGTCCATAGCTCCAAAGAAGGGGAGAGAAAATTATCTAGAAGATACCACTACAATGAGAAACAAAATAAAACCCATTGCCGTTGAGATACAGAGTCGAACTGGTCTCCGCAGGATTTTCATTGATGGTGGGCTCCATCCCCCAACCTTCTGGTTAGCAGCTGAGTGCAAGCCATTTGTGCTACCTGGGCTCCTTACCATGAAAAGCCACTGCAGTTAAACCTGGCTGCTTTCATTTTTGTGATTTCAGATTACTCTCCATGGAAGAACCTATAATCTAGTAATCTGTGACGGGAGAATATCAAACACACATAGGTCTTCAAATCATGGGGAATAATTGAGCCATTTGTCCATTAGATAAGAAGCCCTGGTGGTGCAGTGGTTAAGTTATTGATTGCTAACCAAGTTTGGTGGTTCAAGCCCACCAGCTGCTCCAAGGGAGAACGATGTAGCAGTCTGCTTCTGTAAAGATTTACACCTTTGGAAACCCTAAGGAGCAGTTCTTCTTCTTCTGCAGGAATTTTATGAGCTGGAATGGACCCAGCAGCAATGGGTACGGGCCACTAGGTTTTTGCAATTTGAATAACAAAATTGTCTCATTGTTGCGAAAGCAACTAACCCAGAATGCAAATTTAAAAAATTCTGTGTCTATATGTAAGCTTGGAAGTATTTATGTTTATAAGACTTAAAATTCATGTTATTTTAGAATAAAGAAAACTATATAGACTCATTACTAAATATAAATGACAATACAAGGGGGCTTACAAAGTTTGTGGGAAAATTCCATTCTTTTTGAATTCTATTTTCCCACAAGCTTGTTGAGGTCCTGTCATATGCGGATTGACTGATTCTTCAACTATTTAGTCAACTTTTAAACAGAAACACCTCAATCATTAAATTTTTTCCCCCATACTGGTCAAACCCACAAACTGCCAGTCATGTTTTGACGAAAATATTCTACTGCAAGATAAGCACCTTTATAAAGCAAATTGAATAGATGAGCAACTATTCAATTCTGCCTTGTAGCACCAAAGCAGTCAAAAAAGCAGTCTAACTGTGCACCACAGGGTTTTTAACGATTTTATTTTCAGAAGTAGACCGCCAGGCCTTCCTTGTGAGGTACCTCTGGATGGACTTAAACCTCTAACCTTTCAGTTAATAGCCAAGAGCATTAACCATTTGTACCACCCTGGGATCCCGACACCCAACTATTTGGCTTCAAATAGCTTTACCGTGTCCCAACGACATAACCTTGAACAAGTTAAACTCTTTGCCTTGATATTCCCATCTGGAAAATGTGGCTAAAGATACTGTGTACCTCAGAAGGTGTTTGGAGGTTTAAACGAACTCTTCTTAGAGTCCTAGTGTGGCACTGTAAGATAAGCACTGGACTGCAAGGTCAGTTTGAACCACTGGGTTGGAGGTTCAAACTCACCAGTCACTCCTGGAAAATCCTATGAAGGCTTATTATGAGTCTGAACCAACTCGATGGCACTTAACAACAACAACAATAACATATGGAGTTCTTAGAGCATGGAAGCATCTAGTCTTGTTATATGAACCTCGGGGCATTAGGGACAAAACCACAAACGTCTAGCTTTCTCAAAAACTGACTCAGGTCTTAACAGGGCTCTTTGTTGGATTAATGCTACAATTATCTTATATAATTATAAATATATATATAAGCCATTTGAGAAGTTGGGTAACCTCCTAAGACCTTTGAGAGGTTAAGGGTTCTGGCTGTCAGATGATGACTCTGTTCATGGAAGTGAGAAGCACACAGAAGTCCACCACGTGAGTACACATGAGGACAGGCAAATTTGTTGTCTGTTTCAGTCTCAGAGCACTACTCAGACACCATGCGCGAGTACAAAAGATTGACGAGATCTGCTGCCCACTTCAGAGCGTGGTGTTCAGTTGGAACTAATCATCCTAGAACAATAGACGTGAGTTTTCAGCAGGAGTCATGGAGGCCCCTAGTGCTAACTTTGTGTTGTCAGGAGGGAAAAGTTGGCCAAGCAGCTTGGAAGTGAGAAGGTGTGATCTACCAACTCCTTTCTGGAATCTCGTGTCTCCTTTAGACATGTTACACTGAAGAAAGCAGGATCCAGTCTAGATGTCATTGTGAAAAGTCACTCTAGTACTTGGATGACATTCACACAAAGCGAGTGTGTCATTCTTTACACATGGAAAACTACGTGTCCTTCTCCATTCCTGAAGCCCTACCAGGTCATTGGCATGGTCCTCACAAGAGCTCCATCCATATTTCACACAAAGCCCAACACTTGTTTGCGTAATATAGTCAAATTTTATTCAATGTAGTTATAGTGCCCTTCCCCCGACCAGCCTGGGAGGCCCAAGACACACCTTCTCTATTATTCTCTGATATCAACATCCCTTTTAGGAAATACAAGAGAAGATAGCTCCTGAGGCAGAAATAAATACTGAAATCACTGGACACAAGGGTGCCCTCTCTGTACTCGCCCTATCTTTGGACGATGTTGCCTCAACAAAGTTACAGGTTTGATAGTTAGTAACATCTTCATAATCTCTTATTTTCTATACCTTGAAATTAGCATTTACATACTGCCGAATTACTTATAGGAATCAGATTAGCTTGCTAAAATGAGGTCTGGATATCATTGGTGCTTTGGAATCCTGCATTGTTCTCTCCTTTACTGATGTCCACGGTGGCATAAGGATTTTCTTCACCGCTTGCTTGCGCTTTCCTGTTTAATAAAGTGAAGTCAGTTTAACACAGTATTGTTAGAATGCCTACGGTCTCCTTTGGACCCCACCAGCCCCAGACATGGTTTCTAGCTCAGAAGTTAAGCACTGGTTTTTCACTTGCATGTCAGTCTTCTTTTATTAGATTATAAACTTCTGAGATACAAGGATGGCATTGGATGCCTTCTCTAAAGAAAGCACTGTGAGCGGTCAGCATCATGGCTGGTTAAGTGTAGGAGGCTGGTTAGGGATTTGGGCTCTGGAGTCAGAGCTAGGGGAAACTTGATACTTCAGTTTGCTTCATCAGAAAATGATGGCAATTAAGTACAGGCAATGAAGGCATGCTAGTAGAGTACCCACCCATCAATCCAATGCCATGAAGTGGATTCCGAGTTATATACTAGAACTACCCCATAGGGTTCCTTAGATTGTTAATATTTACAGAAGCCTCATCTTTCTCTCCTGTGGAGCAACTTTGAACCACAGACCTTTTGGTTAGCAGCACAACACTTAATCCGTTGTGCCACCAGGGCTCCAAGTACCCCCATAGTATCTGTCTGTCATGTATCAGTTGACCAGTCACGGTTGAGTCATTTCTGACTCGTAGTGATCCCATAGGGTTTTCTTTCAGAAGCAGATCAGGAGGCTTGCCATCTGAGGCACCTCTGAGTGGGTTTTGGTTAGTAGTCAAGTGCTTAACCATTAGTGCCACCCAGGAACTCCACCTGGCATATAATCCTCAATCACAATTAGCTGGTATTATTAAGTTTAAGAACTTCAGTAGTCATTGAGCCAATTGTTTCCTCATTTGAAAAAAGCTCCCTATTAAGTTATCAACTTCCAAATGGTAAAGGTTGGGGCAGGACGGCTTTATAATGTAACAACGGGCTTTGGAAATGGGGGTCACATTCCCATCTGTTACTGATAAGCTGTGTGAAATGGATCATTTGGGTTGGAAGGTGGAGGGCAAATGAAATTGAGTCATTTCCAGGGGGCGCATTAGAATATTTCGGTGCAAAATTGTTTAACCAAGTAGCTAGTCTACACCACCCACCACACACTACAGATGAGCTAATTAAGTGCTCCTAAACCTTTCTGTCTTACAGTAGATACACACATCCATCTTAGGAAAGGTTACTTACTTTCTTCGATCTCGGATCCCGGTGGCGATCAGGACGATAATGCCAATCACCACCACTCCCATCACAACTCCGAAAACAATCAGCCAGATGACAACAGGGGGCTCGTAAGGGGGGACCAGTGTCGGCTGAATCCCCACAAACTCCAGGCTGTTGTCATCCAGGCGGAAAGCATCGTTGATACGGCCACGGGACATCCTGTTTGCAGAAGCAAAACACAGCAAAGATACACTTTCTTAGGCAAAAGAAAATTGCGTGTAGCTATTTACTCCTTATATCATTGTTCTACTGTGGCCCTCTTGTAGTGCTGTAGGTCTGCTAACTACAAAGTCAGCAGTTCAAACCCACCAGCCACCCCTTGGGAACCCTACACTGGGTCACTGTGAGTCACAACCAACTCCATGGCACTTGACAACAACACCATCAATTTATCCCTTATATTACTCTGGAAGTGATCAGGTAAGGCTTGGACTAATGGTGTGGTGCTGTAGGATCAGCACTGGACTGCGAACTACAAGGTCGGAAGTTCAAACCCACGAGTTGCTCCTTGGAAACCCTACACCAGGTTGCTATGAGTCAGAACTGACTCGATGGCACTTAACAACAACAACAACAACATCTTAATACTGTGCACTTAAATCATGATGAAATCAAACTAGATAGCCACATCCCTACCATGAAAGATAGGTGTTTTGACTATTACAATATCTTTCAAATCTTACATCCTAGCTTAGGTTTAGCAGCAGTTTCCTTGGGAAATAAACGGGTTGCAAGTGTGTAAATGTACAAATGGTTGACTTTTGCTATTGGTGACTATTGTGTTGTCAAGACAGAGTGAACACAAAGTTTGGGGACAATTTCCCCCATGTTAGAATATGTCCATAGTAACTTGGTATCAAATAATGGCAAAGGGTAATTGAATCCACCTCAGCAGGTCGTACAGACAAGTGTCCATCCATAGTAGGACTTTGCATAGTAGGTGGTGTCACCGGGAGGCAGTATTTGTTAACCCATTCGCCCTTGTAGAGTATGTTTGAAAGTAAAATGTTACCTTATGGCCTCTTCAACTTCAGTTTTAGGAATGATGTCTGACTGGTTTTTCGGCATGGTGATGAAGAACTTGAAGGAGACTCTTGGCTGCTTATCAGTCACGTGTACATCTTCCACTCTGTGGAGAAACAAGAACAACATCTTCCCTTGTAGTAAAGAAACGAAGACTTCCTCTTCCATGAAATAGATGCTAGGGAGGGACCCAGGAGAGGGACTTGGGGTAAAGTAGAGAGAAAGACATGAGCACCCAACCAGGATGGGGGAGGGTGCTTTGGAAGGATGTCATTGTCCAAAAAGCATTCAAATTGCCTAAAGCTCATGACATCAGCCATATGAACTGTGATATGTATCTTGGCACTGTTTGTTCTGACACATATTTTATTTCAGTGATGGAGAATGTCCAAGCAGGCATCATTGACTCCCCTCACCCCGCCCCCCCCCCAGGACTTCTATACCATGGCCACAGTGATGACTTAGGCCATGCACAGATATGCACTTACAGTCCCTTGTCCTGCTCCTTCCCAGAAGACAGTGTCCTATTTTCCCCATGGAAAGGTTATGAGTAGGATTACTAGGTCATGTGACAAAACTATGTTCTCATCTGTCAGAGTGAACCTATTAAAACCTAAGGCAGATTATATCTTCCAGAACTCTTCAATGTGTACCCATTCACTCAGAGTAGAAGTCCAAGTCCTGAGAATGGCCTTGGAAGCCCTTGTGGGCATCTCTGCCTCCCCTTCACCTCATAGTGCCCTGGACCCATCTTCTGTTAACTCACTTTGTCCGAGCCACTCCGGTCTCTTTGCTGTTCTTTCACCGTCGCTTCCTCAAGGTCTTTGTACCTGCTATTCAGTCTGACTGAAACACTTCCCTGTTATCCGCACTGCTGGTGCTCTTTCCTTCAACTCTTTGCTCAAATAATAATGAGGCCTTTTCTGAACATTTTGTTTCAGTTGACACAAACGTACACACACCTTCATATCCACCAGTATTCCTTAATCCCTTTCCTGTTGTATTTCTCTTCCTAGTACTTCTCAACATATTTCTCAACATATTTCACTGGCACATTTTGTGGATTGTCAAACATACACACACATAGAATAGACTGTATGTGATGTAGAATGTACACAATAAAGGCATTGCCATAAGTGGGTGAGAGATTTGTTCATGTCATCTACAAATTAAACCAGCCACAATCATCCCAAAATAGAGAGGCCCAGATTCCAGAATATCAAAGAAGTTTTTACAAATTATTAGGAGATTGTTCTTAAATTCTCATGAAGAATGCATCCTCACACCCCAGAATAAGGGAAGTGCTCGTTGGAGTAACAAGAACCCCGAAAATCAACTCACCCAAAACTGATCGTCTGGTTTTTGACTTTTAAGAAATACTCTCTCATGGCATATGCAATAGACGAGGAGAACAAGTACATTTCATTGGCATTCCATTCATACTGCAAATTCAGAAGAAAGACACTGCTCAGTAGAGCTCATAGGACACACTCAAAAACATGGTGTCTACCACCGTTAGTCTGAATTCTTCTAATATTCCAAGGAGACTTGCTATATTTTTTTTAATGCATAGCAAGTCTCCTTGGAATATTAACAAACACACCACCATAGATTCCAACTCATGGCAATCCCATATGTTACAGACTAGAGCTGTTCTGTAGGCTTGGTTCAAACCACCAGCCTTTAGATTAACAGTCAAATGCAAACTGTTTGTACCACTGAGGACTTTTCATTAACTCAGTGGTCCTCAAAATGGCTCATGAATCTGCATCATCTGGAGGGCTTGTTAAAACACTAAGTGGACCCTTCCCTTAGAATTTCTGATTCAGAATTAGTATCTCTAACAAGTTTCCAAAGGAGCTCTGGTAGCGTAGTGGTTACAAATTGGGCTGCTAATCTCACGGTCAGCAGTTTGAAACTACCAGCTGTTCTGTGGGAGAAAGATGAGGCTTTCTGCTCCCATAAAGATTTACAGCCTCGGAAACTCTGTACAGGGTCGCTATGTGTCGGAACCGACTCGACGGCACTTAACAACAACAACAACAAGTTCCCAAGTGAAACTAGGATGTAAGAATGAATGGGTTCAGTTTGGCTTGGATGTTAGCTGAGTAAACACTCTTAACAACACCAACAACAACAGAGGAGCCCTGCTGGTGCAATGGTTAAGCATTTGATTGGTAATGGAAAGGTCAGTGGTTTGAACCCACCAGTGGTCCTGTGGGAGAAGACATCTGGTGATCTGCTCCTAGAAAGACTAAAAACCCCAAACTCACTGCCATCGAGTCGATTCCAACTCTTAGTGACCCCGTATAGGGTTTCTAAGGTCCATTTGGACTATCAACCTTTTGGTTAGTAGTCCAGTGTTTATCCCTATGGTGTCTCCAGAGCTCCCTGTAAGGATCATTGTTGTTGTTGTTAAGTGCCATAGAATAGGTTCTGGCTCATACAGACCTTGTATAGCGTTTCCAAGGAGTGGCTAGTGGGTTTGAACCACCTACCTTGCAGTTCAAACCAACCTTTGTTATCCAGTGCTAATCCTACGGTGCCACATCAAGACTCCCTAAGAAGTCAACTGGGTAAAAATTGTTGTCGGTATTAAAATGCCATCAAATCAGTTCTGTCTCATAGTTGACCCCATGTAGGGTTTCTGAGGAGCAGCTGGTGGGTTTCACTGCAGTTAGCACGCCAGTGTTTATCGTACAGTGCCATGCCACGAACCTCTGTGGGGCCATCTATTCTGTCACATAAGGCCATCTATTCTGTCACATAAGGCCAGTATGGGTGGAAAATGGACTTGATGGCACTCAACAACGCTTTGACTTCTTTGATAATACGCTTCACGATGAGTATACTATAAATGTAAAAGATGAAGAAGGTAGCTTAAGTTCCAAAGGGAAAGATAACACTTTGTAAACAGCAAGGTCATCTGTTGATGCTTGTTTTTGAAGGCTAAACAAGTGGCTTGTGTGGTTGCCATTGTTCAAGAGAAAAGAAAAAAAATGTGATCTCTATTCTCCAGTAGGTGGCAATAGAGATCAATGAAGGGCACAAATTTGCTTCTCCTTTATCACTCAAGAATTGCTAACATTCATTTCAATTTGTTTTCACCCAGCTTTGGGGAGCAAAATATTGCTTTTTATAATTATAATAAAGTTATTAATACTACTACTAATCAGATTCCCGTTACTATTGTTGTTAAGTGCTATCCTTTTGCTTCCAACTCATAGTGACCCTACATTGAGTTTCTGTGGCTTTATATCTTTGAGGGAGCAGGAAGCCTCATGTTTCTCCTGTGGAGCAGCTGGTGGGCTCAAACCGTAGACTCTGTGGTTTGCAGTCCAGGGCTTATTGTATGGAGCCTTCTGGTTACTATTACTATATATTTATAAAATTGTAAAGGCTGAGTTCTCAAAATAGTGTCAAAGCTCCAATTGTACTTCACCAGGAAATAGCCTAACTTGAGCAGATATTCTGCCCCCACTATGAAGATGGTCTCATCTAAGGTCTTTGGGTGGAGCAAATGGTTTGTTCTTGACTATTAACTGAAAGGATGGCAGTTTGAATCTACTCAATGGTGCGGGATAGGGACCTGGTGCCTGACTTTCATAAGATCACAGTCATTGGAAGCCCTGTGGGACAGGGTTAGTTCTACTGTGAATTACTTGGGCTCACTATGAGTCAGAATCCACTTGCCAGCCAATGGGTGAGTAGGCCATAGAAGATATATCAAATTCTCTGGAGACTATGCACTAACCCCCTCGCACATGGGACAAATGTCAAGACAAAAAGATAATTTAAAATGACCCCAACCTGCTGATTATAATGAAGAGTTATCAGGTCAAGGGAGAACTAATAATAATAAAAATCTGACAGCAAGGGAAATAATACCAGAGACACTCAAGTTCACTCAAAACCAATAGGAACTTGACCGTCAAGAGTTTGGGAAGAAATGCAGCTCCGTTTGCATTATTCATTTCTTCAATGTTTACCTTGAAGTTCAATTATTTTACTTATGGAGTCCTGGTGTGGCACTCTAGGATAAACATAAGGTCAGTGGTTCAAACCCACCAGCCACACACCATGAAAACCCTATAAAGGGTAGTAGCTATGAGTTTCAGAACTGACTCGACCGCACTTAACAACAACGTATTATTTATATTTTGATATCTTATCTATGAAAAATACACAACTACTATTAAGCTCTGGACAATATTTAACCTCCCAGGATAAGGGGATAGAAATACAATTCTGGGATGTATCTGATGCAGGCAACAATTTTCTGCAGTCCTCTACTGCCTTCTCTCCTCTTACCCAACCAAACAGCCTACTTCCTTAGACCAGCTAAGCTTAGACACCTGGCGGGAGAAAGTAGTAGCTGATTGAGGTAATTCACATGAAGATACATAACAGTCTCTTTGGTGACGTCAAAATACTGCTCTTAAGTCAGTGATCCTCAAATGCTGCTGTAATTAGAATCACCTGGGGAGTTTTTGTGCCATTTGATGCCTAACTCTTCATATCACCACCACCCCCAGATTAACGCAATCAGAATCTTTAGGGGGCGACATTCAAGCATTCATATTTGTAAAACTTCTCACGTAGCTGCAGTGTGCAGCCTAGTTTGTGAAACAGAAATCAGAGCATCTCAGTTTTACAGTGTCTAGGAATCACCTGGGGGAGGGAGTCTGCTTAAAATACTGATGGCACAGTTGAGGGCGCAGGTTAGTTAAAGCTTAAACTGGGATTTTGTATCCCAGGTGACGTGGATGCTGCTGATCTATAGAACACACTCTTCGTAGTCAGGATGTAGATGAATAAAATAAACAAAAAGCTATCCATATTATTTCTAAAAACCAACAGTCTCTCAAAATATATCTGTCCTCTTCCTCAAATACAAGTAATGGTGACAAGAATGAATTAGGAAGGTAGGTACTTGATTTTTAAGGACCAGTATAAAGGCTTTCTTATCGGTCTTCATAACACCTTCAAGGCAACGAGTAAGTAGAAAGCAAGGCATGTTGTTGTTAAGTGCTGTCTAGTCAGTACTGACTCATTGCGACTCTATGTAGAGTTTTAAGGAGAGGCTGGTGGGTTTGAACTGCCAACCTTGTGGTTAGCATCCAGTGTTTATCCTACACTGCTATACCAACCAGGACTCTAAGGAATATGTTACCAAAACAAGACAAGCAGAAAGCCAGAATCTGGGACTGCTAATTTTGAAGGGAACCATGTGGCCCCTACCCTTTCCAATCACCTGAAATGGGTTCATTGTGCCCCGTTTAGGAGCAATACATTGAAAAGTAATGGATGAACTAGCCGTGTACTCACCGCTTTGTCTCCAAGAGCAGATTTTAGGCTTATCCTCACTTTGATGGTTTCGTCAGCATCTGATTAACAAGAAATCAAAGGTCACCAGTTACAGATGACAGACTGACCACATGTCTGCACTGCCTTTCCCTCCACTAGATGTCACCTAAGTGCTAATCAAGACATTTCCAGCAAGGTCTAAATCTTAGTTTTAGAAGCTGACAAGTGATAGATGAAGAGTAACTGTTGTCTTAGGGTCTAGGAAGCCGTGGTCCAGTGTGTACACAGAGCGGGTATAGACCACCAAAGGGTCAGAGAATCTCAGAGAAACTTGGAACTCAAGGATGACAGATGGCAGGAAAATGTCAAGCTGCAAACAGGGGGACGGAAGTCAAGGTGTGTTTAAAGCCAATCTGGAGAACAGTTGATCCTCCTACGTCACTTGCTCAGAATGTCACTTGGAGTGACAGTAAAACAAGATAGAATCAAGAAAGAAGAAAGACATACCATCTAGGAAGCAGCAGATTCAACGCAGGAAATTAGCAAAGGAATGACTCAGAATAAAAGCTGTGGTTCAGGTGGAGACAGGATGATTCAACACTCCAAGAGGAAAGTCTCTAGAACAAAGCAGGGTCAATGTAGATGGAAGATCTACTGTTACAGTCCCATGAGCCTGAGGTCAGAGTAGATGAAGGAGAAGCAGCTGAGAGAGCGCGGCAACACGAAACATGTACGCACATGGAGTCCAGTCGGTGTTCCAGCCCACATAAGAGTTTCTGTTCTGCTCAGTCAGCCACTTATACAAGGGTGCAAAGTAGTTAAGCAGTGGGCTCACATCCATTTTATCAGTTCCTACAACACTTTTCAATGCAAAAGTCCAGGGTTCTGATTTTCCAAGGCTCAACATCCCACTATATGAAAAAAAAGAAATGTTCAGGGCCATCTAAAGGATTCCAGATCCGCATCTATTTACATCTATGATCTATGGTTACTTTCTGTTGCTGTTGAGTCGGTTCCGACTCATAGCGACCCTCTATGGGGTTTCTGAGGAGTGGCTGGTGGGTTTGAACCGCCGACCTTTCTGTTAGAAGTCCAGTGCTTATCCTACAGCGCCACACCAGTTTTCTTCTAGCAGATATGAAGCTAGAGCGTGCTAACAGATATATTCACCCCTCACTCTCTCTGCCTTTCCAATGACCACAAAGGGAGCTGTGTAGTTTGGATGTGGAGATAGGAGATGGCTGCTGCAACCACTGCATGATCTTGGTTTCTACCTGATTACAAATTAAACATTGAATATGTGCAAGAGGACATTTTGAAGCCAAACATTTTCTTTTCAGAAAATTTTAAAATCAAACTCAAGCCTAAGGGTGGGAATGACTAAAAGTGGGTGCAGGGGCCTAGTGACGTGGGTGCTAAGAAAGGTTCAATGTTTTGGGGCATTTCTTATCTTACAGCAGCTTCTTCCCTGCTTCTGTGGAATTTGAGATGTCACATTTGTGCAAGGGACCTTCATGTTTAGCCACTTGACAAAGAGCTTCTTGAAACTGGAACTGATAAATGGTTCTTGTGTAATATCTGTCCAAGAGACAAAAAAGTAATCCATTTTTAGTTATCATGGTAGAATCATCAATTTGAGCAAACAATGCAAATCTGCAGCCGAAGTCACCAAAGAGCTACTAGTCAAATCTCTCTGTCCAGAAAGACTCAAACATGAACCTTATTACAAACACACCGTAACTTACCTGTATTTTATACATCAGCTGACAAGCAATTCAATATTAGGTTCTTAAATGTTAACTTATATTTGTAATGTATTGTGCAGATTTATAGCCTTCTCATATGAATATGACAGTTTATCTCATATACTTTGGACACATTAGCAGGAGAGACTAAGCTCTGGAAAAGGACATCGTGCTTGGTAAAGTAATCGTAGTTAAGTGCCACCGAGTCAGTTCGGACTCATAGCAACCCTGTGTAGGATTTCCAAGAAATGGCCGGTGGGTTTGAACTGCCAACCTTATAGTTAGCAGTGCAGTGCTTATCCTACAGTGCCACATGAGGACTCCTGGTAAAGTAGAGGATTACCCACCCACCCACCTCCAAAAAAAGAAAGACTCTCAATGAAGTGGATTGAATTACTGGCAGTAACCATGGGCTCAAACACAACAATTGTGAACAGGACTGGGCGTGTTTTGTTCTGTTGTGCATAGGGTCGCTAAGAGTTGGAACCAATTCAATGGCAACTAACAATAACATATACTATCAACTGATCCTCAGATTGTTATTGTTGCTGTTGTTAAGTGCTGTCGAGTCGATTCTGACCCATAGCGGCCCTGTACAGGGTTTCCAAGGAGCAATTGGTGAGTTTGAACCACTGACCTTGCAGTTCAAATGACTTGCAGTGTGACATATTAGCCCACAGCACCACACCAGGACTCCGATCCTCATATAGGACAGAGAAAGTATCCCCATCTTACAAATAAAGAAACCGAAGCTGGGGAAACTCAAGGTTAGTACGCCAACAGATGAGGAACATTGGTATTTGGACGCCAAGTTAAAAATGTCCTTTCTATTACAATGCTTTCTGAACACTGTCAGTAATAAGAGAACAAATCAAGAAACCACTTCATTTTTCCCAGTGATGCTACTAATTCCTCCATGGTGGTGAGAAGATCTCACCCCAGTTTTATTGAATCCAATAAATTGTGTTGCATTAAATTGAATTGAAAGTGATCATTGATTTTGAGATTCTTGGAGTGGGCCATGGGATAGAAAGAGAAATGATCATCGTCATTCATTTTATTCCTATCACTAGAACAGGGATCCACAAACCCTAAGAGTTAAACCATAAGAAGAAAACTGTGTATTTACCGGATGAATGAGTAGTCATTAGCAACATGGAACAGAGCTGCAGGGTCACAATAAGATTCATCATGAGGCAAAGGTTCCACAACCCCAACTATCTCTCGCCTTTAAAGAGAAAACAAGATACATTAGCAATGGGAGAGTTGGGTACAAGCCCTTCTGTTTCATCAGTTAATGATATTTACATTGGAACTGGCTCTCAGGTGAAATATAAACAGTGGAAGAGAGATTGACACAGGCCCTGCCACAATAGGCTCAAACAACGCGAGACAGTGATCAAAGGCAATGAGCATGAGGATGGCTCATGGCCAAGCAGCGTTTTCTTCCGGGGTACTTAGGGTCACTATGAGTCAGAACTGACTCCACAGCACCTAACAACAATAACCACAAAGCCTTTTATGTAGTTATCTCTCTTTTTTTCCCAATTCAACCAGAATATGCCAGTGGAAAATAATTATGTATCTTTTAAACAAATAGTTGTTGTTGCGTGCTGTGGTGTCGGTTCCAACTCATAGCATAAGATTTCTGAAAACGGCTGGTGGGTTTGAATTTCCGAACTTGGGGTAACCAATCCAGTGCTTATCCTGCAATGCCACACCAAGACTCCAAACAAAGAATAAGGCCTCTAAATAAAATTTAAAATAATTTACCAATTACTAGTGTATGGTTAAAAATGTACCTTAAAGGCATTCATGTTGCTGTACCCCATTTTATCTGTCCTGGCAGACATTTTAGTTTTACAGAATGTACAAATACCAAAAAAATGAATATATTGACCACACTTAAGAAGATGAAAAATAAGTAGTGTTCACCTGACTCTGCTTGGGTGGGGAACAGAGCCAAGGAAACTTTGAGGAGAAGGCATGTGTGTGTGTGCACTCACATGTGTACTCGTGCACACATGCCCTCGTTAGTACGATTTGGTGACAATGCCTTAGCATGGATGTCCTTATCTTTTCCACATACTTAACCACATGTCACCAGCCTTTCAGATTTAGCCATGGAAATCCCAGTTACTGTGACTATGAATGTGTTTTCTCGGCAAACACCAAACCTAATTGTTTTCTATTGGGTTCTCTCAGCAGCAGACCCTTAGACAGTTCCCGAGAGATGATTCTAGTAAACATTGGCAAAGGAGTAAGAAAATGAGGCAGAGAAAAGAAAACCGGCCCTCCCACCCCCCTAAAACGGTGTCTTATCCAGCAAGTTACCATTGTGGGTAATTGGAGGTTTTTTTTGTTTTTTTTTTTTTTATCCACTGAAGAACTGTAAGAACAGTAAGATACCTCAGAGTTATCCCAGATGAGGATGATGAAACTGAGGTATTTATCTACCAACTCCCATCAGTCATTGGCTGAGGGCTAATGGGAACAGTGTTAGTTCCTAAGGCAATGCCATGGGTCTGGTGGCTAGAGGAAATGCTCAGTTCATTGATTATAGATACCAACAGTTGTCTGCATGTCTGTGTGCCCCAAAGGGCAGTCAATTGCTTTTATACTTTTCTAAATAAATGAAAAACTCGTAAGAACACATTTTGCACATTGACTTACTTCATCTCCCACCACTTTTTCATCCATTGCTCTTTGGGAATTTCACCTTTAAAGACCATCCACCTCCATTTCTCTAGCATGTAAGTAAAGGGCAGGGTTCCAACAATCGTGAGCGCTTGTTTGAGTAGGAAGTTCAATTCTGTTTCTGAAAGTCAAATGGCAAAGAATAAATATGAAGATGAGGAGAACTGAACATTTTGTACCAAATAGAACTTTCCTAATCTCAAGATAAATTCACTATAAGAGTGATGACATGAGAAATCTTCACAGTGGATTATAGATATATGTATATATTCATTTTCTCAAGTAAGGAATCTGAAATAGGGTAAAACACTGGGATTATTGTTGTTTTTGTTGTTAAGTGATGTCAAGTCGGTTCTGACTCACAGCAACCTTTTATAGGGTTTCCAAGGAGTAGCTGGTAAGTTTGAACCGGCCACCTTGTGGTTCAAACCAACCTTGTGGCCCAGTGCGTCATACCAGGATTCCAAAGCACTGGGATAGAATCGGTAAATAAAATGCATAGGCATCTCCTAATCCTCATTTTTCTCTTTAGTTTCCACAGTCTGCCTTAAATACTTTTATCAGAACTAACTGGGGCTATTTTATCAACATTCCCAGTGGTGTTATTTATCATTGGATGCTCTGTGAAGGCAGTCAGTGGCCATTAATGTCTCAGTATCTGCTATATGATGCCCGCCATACATTTTTATTAAAGAAACAAATGTTAGATATGGTCAAAAGCCAGGAAGCCAGGAGGGAAATCCTCAGAAACCATCATCCACTGAATAAAGAAAGCTAGAATGTACTTTCAATGTTCTGGCATCTTTCTTACCAAGAAAACAAATCATGTTCTTCCATTTATCTTTTATTAGTAAAGAAAATGGTCAACAGAAGTCATCTCTGGCGTAATAATGAGAGACTCACTAGAATGCAAACACTGGGGCAGAATCTACTCAGCACACCATTGTATCTTCGGTCTAGAAAAATGCCTTGCAAGTACATAGTATGTGCTCAATAAATGTTTGAAAGAGGAAGGAAGACAGAGAGGGAGGGAGGAAGGGAAGGAATTTTTTTTTCTTAGTCATTCACACATCAAAGGAACAAACAGGAGTTTTTCAAGACATGTCTAGAGTCCTGTTGTGGTGCTGCGGGTTAATGTGCTGGACCACAAGGTCGGTTTGAACTTCAAGGTTGGTGGTTCAACCTCACCAGCCTCTCCTCGGAAACCCTATACTGGGTCACTATGAGTCAGAACTGACTCGATGGCACTTAACAACAACAACAAGAGCACTGGTGGTGCTGTGGGTTAATACTGGACACTAACGGAAACGCTATTTGTTCAAATCCACCAGCCACTTCGTGGGAGAAAGGTGAGGCTGTCTGCTCCCATAAAGATTTACGGCCTCGGAAACCCTATGGAGCAGTCCTATCCTGCCTATAGAGTTGGAATTGACTTGACGGCAGTGGATTCAGATGTTGCTGGCTTTAGTACCATCTAGAGGAGTCCATTGGTTTGAACTGCAAGGTTGGTGATTCAGACTCACCAGCTACTCCTTGGAAATCCTATACAGGAAACCCTATGGGTCAGAACTGACTCTACGGCACTTAACAACAACAACAAAGGAGTCCTAGTGGCTCTGTAGGTTAAGTGCTAGGCTGCTAACTGCAAGATCAGAGGGACCAACTGTTCAGGGAGAGAAAGATGAGGTTGTCTATGCTGTAAAAATGTACAGCCTCAGAAATCCCAGGGAGCACTTGAAGTCTGTCCTATAGGCTCACGATGAGTCGGAACCAACTCCAAGGCAATAGGTTTGGGTTACTACCATCTTAAGGACTGCTCACAGGGAATATTTTTTAAATGATAAATAATTGCTGAATGAATGGAAATTTTAAATTAGAAAGTACTCGTAGACAGACACAATTATTGTTAACTGTCTTCTTTTTTGCTTCTTCCTTCATGGAAGATGCCACCAATGGTCTAGACTCTGTGGAGTCTTTGCTTTCAAGCATGATGATTGATGGTTTTCCACTGACCTTCTCCCAGGCTCTCATGAAATCACAGAGGGACTGGAGCCAGCTATGGACACAAAAGTGAACATCCCACAGAAAGCTGGCACTCACGACCATGACCTCGATCATATTGACCAGATAGAGGGGCTGATGTTTGTGTCCCAAATAGCAAACAAGAGGGGAGAGAAACACTTGGAAGAAGAGGAGATATTTGGCTCTAATTATCCTCCCTACAAGGAGGAATCAAAAGCCATGGCATCTTTACGAAAGAATCTGGATCTCATAAGCATTAGCCATTCGCCATCAAGTCCAAATTGCCCAAAGAGAACTGGGCTGCCTCAGGCTAAATGTGTTTCTTGTCAGGAGATGCTGAAGAAAAGTCTGGATCTGAGGGCATGTTGCAGCAGGAAATTAAGGCTTCATTCAGCTAGATGCACAAAGCATTAAGTCCCTTCCAATCTTGCTATTTCACTACCTGTTTTGTAAGAATACCCACGTTGTGCTTTGCACACCATGATGGGAAACGTTTTAAACTTGGGCTTCACTTTGGTTCCTGCCACTACATTGCATCGCCAACTTGAGCCTGTTACTTTCTCTCTCTTGGATTTTGTTTATGCCTTTGTACAATAGTTCTTAGAATCTGTGCCAGCTCTAATGGTTTGGGAAGTGTTTTCCCTAAAACCAGAGGGATCTAATCAGAGCCCTGATTATCATTTGCTGGGTGACCTTGGATCAGCCACTTCAATTCTGGGGGCCCGTTTCAGTACCATTGAAACACAAAACAACAAAAGTCCATTTCTTAGGGACTCAAATCCATTCATTCAACTAACACTCCTATTGCCTTTTCAAAGCTACAACGCTACTTACTTGGCATATTCTGATAAAAACTTTAACATTTCTTATTAGTAGTAATTCCCCATCCATTGCTGTCAAGTAGATTCTACCTCACAGCGACCCTGTCGGAGAGAGTAGAATTGCCCCCTAGGATTTCCAAGGTTGGCATCTGTGCGGAAACAGACTGCCACTTGTCAGTTAGCAGCTGAACACTTAACCAGTGGGCCACTAGGCCTGTTAGTAATTCCCAGAGCCCCATATCTATCTTCTAGCTTATGCGGCATAAAGTAAATGATGTCCTATAATACAAATGCCCACATCAGACTAAAGAACCCCGAGCACAAGCCGTGGAAGGATGTTCATACCAGAGTCCTCTTGAAAGTCAGGTGGCAGGAGGCCAATGGCTTTCAGATGCTTAGGTGTGGCAGCAGAGAGTGACATGATTTCTCCAACAGCTTCATGGAACCCCTCATTCGCTCCACTTCTTTGCAGGAAGGGTTGTCTGGCATATGCCATGTCATACTGAATGTGTCCCATCTCATGATGGGCTGTCAGGAAGTCATCCATTGTCACTTTTGTGCACATCTTGATCCTGCATATTAATGGGTGAGATTAATATCAATCTCATCAAATGTTATTCCATCATTACAGTAGAATCATATGGCATTTGAGCAGCATGGACCATCTTTCTAAGATTTAGTCACCAAGAAACTGCACTAGGTACTCAGTAGAACCCGACTGGCGGTGCAGATGCCTGGCTTCCTGATCACAGACTCAGGCTCGAGTCCTTGAATGATGCAAACAGTTAACAAAGAAGAAAGACCTGGTGGCTTTGGAAAAATGAGCCACTGAAAAATCCTATTGAGTGCATTTTATCTGGATACAAACGACGTCACCTTGAATCAGCATCGACTCAATGAAAGCAACTGGTTTTTATTTTTGTGGTATTGTCGGATCAGCACTGGAATGCGAACCACAAGGTTGACAGTTCAAAGCCACCTGCTGCTCCTCAGAAACCCTATACAGGGTTGCTATGAGTCAGAACTGACTTGATGGCACTTAACAACAACAACTACATGAGTTCACAAGCCAAGGAAGAAAAACCTGATAATCTGCTCTCGCCAAGACTGTAACCAAGAAAACTCTATGGAGCAATTTCCATTCTGTCACATGGGTTCACATGAGTCAGGGCCAACTCGATGTCAGCTAACAATAACAGCATGGCTACTTTCATGCTAAAACAGCAAAGTTGAAGAGTTGCAACAGAGACCTACAAAACTTAACCTATCTGTCCCTTTATATCAAAGCATTGCCAACCATTACTCTAGTAAATGCTGTTGGGGCTCAACTTAGGTCCCAATTACCAGGCAGATGTACCCATCACCCAGCACCCTGAGTCATAGGTGCTACGACTTGGCCAAATACAAGATGCCTGGACCAGGAGGTGATGTTTGCCCACTTTCTGGGTCAGTTCACAGCCCCAAAGGCTAGTCCCCTTACCAGAAAGTGGGACACACTCTGTAGTAGGAATCACGCTCCCAAGTGTCCCATGGGTTTGCACAGCTGAGATCACAGCCTTGCTCAGGAACTGCCTTCCCCTGCTCAACCCTGCTTCCTTCACTCCCCTTTTCTCCCGAGCACTCCTTCAAAGTAGCATTGCACAGCATCCATCTCAGGCTAGGGAAGCCGACCAAAGACACTCACAAACCTGCAACCTGGGAATTACTACTCTTTATAGGGAAGGGAACTGAAACCCAAGGTTAAATACTGACCCAATGTTGCAGTGGCATTAAATGACACACCCGGAATTCTGAAGTCTGTGCTCTGTTGGCAAAGTCCCTCAGCCCCTTCTGCCCAGGCCTGCCACTCTAAGCTAACTTGCTGACTCCAGTACCCACCTCTTTGCATTGGATCCTGCTGTTCTCCCAGCCCCATGCCCTCCTTCCATCTCCCTCTACTCAAACCCTTCTCACCTCCCAAATCCAGTTCAAATGGCACCCATAAAGCCCTGTCTGATTCTACCCTCTACTCCAGATGTGGGCAGTTCTTCTTTTCCACTTCCTCATTATTATGATGCCTGCGCCTTTCCAGATGCGGCCACCAGCATCCTACAGATGTCTGTTACTTCCAATGAAAAGGGTTATCTGAAGGCTCAGGGTTATTGCTCTTAAGTGCTGTCAAGTTGGTTCTGACTCACAGCATACTCTGTATAGGGTTTCTGAGGAGAGGCTAGTGGGTCTGGACTGCCGACCTTGTGGTTAGCAGTCCAGTGCTTATCCTACAGTTTGTGGTAGGATCAGCTAATAATTCCCTATTCCTGGGAAAGCCAAGTTGTGTCATCACAGACTCTTGGCCTTCACTCGAGAGTTAGCACATCCCTTCTGTGCTAAGAGAAGCAGAGAAGAGTCCAAGTTGAACGTCACCCCACCACCATTCTTCCACAGCTTAGAGTCACCGTGTACGTAAAGGCTGCACTACCTGAAGTCATCCTTCCCCAAGTCCCAGGCTGTAGGGTGGCAGACCACTTTCCGGCCGTCCTTTGGCTCAGTTAGCATGGAATTTTCCCAGAATCCTTTAGTCATATTAGGGAGGCCAACAGACGCAAAGAAGCTCTCTGCCTCCCTGAATATCTTTATTGCATCCCAGCCCTGAAAAAAGGAACAGTATTTAATTCCAACATTAAAAGAACAGCTTTCTTTCTCATGTGTATATTGGCATACATTTCCTATAAAGCAATTTGTTAACATGTATGGACATGTTTGTATTCTTTGTCTCAGTAATCCTGTCTCTAGGAACCTAATCTAAGAAATCATCAGAAATTAAGTCAAAGAATTCTCTCTTAAGTGGTAATGTTTTATAGAGAAAAAACAAAAACAACAATGGAAAAAGCCACCAGAAAGGTTCAATAATTCAATAAATAATGTGTACTCAGCTGCTAACGAAAAGGAGGCTCGAACCCACCAGCTTCTCCATGGGAGAGAGATGTGGCAGTTGCTACCATAAAGATCGTTGCCAAGTGCCGTCAAGTTGGTTCCAACTCATAGTGACCCTGAGGAGCAACTGGTGAGCTTGAACCTCCGACCATGCAGTTCAAACTGTTCGTGCAGTCCAGCTCATTAACCCACAGTGTCACACCATGACTCCCACCATAAAGATTGTTGTTTCTGTTGTTGTTGTTAAGTGCCATTGAGTCAGTGCCGACCCATAGCAACCCTGTATAGGATTTCCAAGGAGCGGCTGGTGAGCTTGAACTGCCAACATTGCTGTTCTAACCGATTTTGCAGTCCAGCGCATTAACGCACAGCGCTACACCAGGACTTACAGCCTTCAAAATCCTATGGACTAGTTCTACTCGGTCCTAGAGGGTCACTATAAGTTGGAATTTACCCAATGGCAATAAGTCTGATTTGGTTTGGTTTATAGAGTGGAAAATTATGCAGCTATTCAAATGTTATTTATCAAGAGTTATTATTGATGTGAAAAATATTTATAATTTAATAGTATGTGAAAAAGTAGAATTTATTCACTGTCTCATGTAGTGTAATCTTAATGGGAAAATACATGGAAAATGTTGACAGTAGACTGGATGAGATTATGCACAATATTTTTGGTCTTTGTTTGTACTTTCTATTCCAAGTCTAATCATAAACAACAATGACCTATTTAGTATAACAAGTCAAGTATAAGCATGAGTTTGGAAAAGAAAGCTAAAGACTGCTCAACTCAAGTCAACAGGCAACTCAACTCAGGCAAGGCCCTTGTGGGAGATACAAGCACTGAGATTGACATGACACAGACATGAGGTCAACATGAGGTAGACATGATGTAGACATGACATATACATGGCTGCACAGGTTTTTGGAATCAAAGAGATCCTGATGTGGCTCAGCAGCTAATGCACAGTTGGAGTTTGGCCTCACAGTATGTATGGAAGTCAAAACTTTTAGAATGTTCTGAGGTTGGAGAGAGGCAGCAAAAGACAACTGCCACCCACCTGACTCTGTTGGGAGTCAGAGTCCCAGGAGCTGACCAAGCCTGCTTAGGAGATGAGATCTATACTGGATAAATTAAGTTTGTGTTATCGGCAGAATGAATCACTTTTACTGACACAGGAAACTCCCTCTGATCTCAAAGACAAGTCAAGTCCTGCTTTCCTTCTTAACAATCCTGAGGATAAGAAACAGGACATGAAACTATAGGCTTGAATTTTTGTTGTTGTTTCCTTTGGGTTTTTTTACTATTGTCCTTTACAGGCATAATGTCAGACGATATTGAAATTGATGAGTATTAAAAACTTATATTTTTCATCATAATGATTTTTAAAACACTGTGCAAAAAGTCTTCTGATGTTGTCCTTGTGTTTTTGCTATTCACAAAGATTAGTGACTGATTAGCTCACAATGACTAAATCTGGAAAGAGTGAGGCCACCCTATTGCTGCTAATTCCACATCTTCCTGTTCACTAGACATTTCAGGGCATTTCCATTTTGAATACCTCTCCAAAAAAAAAAAAAAAAAATCAACACCATACCTGTTAATCAAGGCACTGACAATAGAATTTAGTTTTCCATGAAAAGATTGCTACCTGGGAAAATTAAATTTAAATGAGCTTGAAATGTTGTTATTCATATGATTCCAGATGCAAAAGAGCCGAAGGCTGGATAAAAACAATGAAGCTGAACATTTAGATTTGGTTGTAAGGTCTCTTCTTCCTACCTGTTTCACCATTTCCTCAGTAACATCTATGTTTGGTTTGTGTCCAAAGGGGACTGTCAAAGGGTACAGATTTGTCCAAAATCTACCCCACATATCACCTAGTTTAAAAAGAGAGAGAGAGAGAAGCTTCCGTTAACATGTAACAAAGAGAGCAGAAATACACACTCAATTTTGCATAATGCATGAGGTTGAATTGGTAAGTGAGCCATAAATTATTCTAAATTTAATCCACTTTCTGAAATTGCCTTCCACTACCTCTTCTTCCCTTCTCTTGTTCTAAATGTCCAACATTTATTTCTTCTTCTATCTCCTATAACAGATTTAAATGACAGCAGTTGATGAGGTTGAGCAAAGCATGTTAGTAAACCATTCCAGTTTCTACCATCCCAAATTATGACTCCAAGGTCAATTTGTTAAATATATGTTGTTGTTGTTGTTAAGTGCCGTCGAGTTGGTTCCGACCCATAGCGACCCTGTACAGGGTTTCCGAGGGTGTAAGTCCTTACGGGAGTAGAAAGCCTCATCTTTCTCCCGCGGAGCTGCTGGTAGTTTCGAACTGTTAAATATATAGGACATAAAAACTATAGATTATAAAGGGATGTATATTAGCCATCATCCAAAAAATATTACAAACTAAACTAATAATCAACAATGCCCAGTATAAGATTCAAGAGATTGTATTGGCTTATTGTTCAGAAACTTCTACTAACAGGTAACTGGAGTTCGCTTTTGTCCCTGGGTGGCACAAATGGCTAAGTACTTGGCTACTAGCCAGACGTTTGATAGTTCCAACCCACCAAAATACACTTCAGAGGATAGAGCTGGTGATCTGTTTCTGAAAATCTAATGGGGCAGTTTGACTCTACACACATGAAGTCATCATGAGTTGGAATCAACTCCATGGTAACTAACATAGTAATACACTTAACTGGGTGAGTTGAAAAGCTCATCTTTTAAAAGACAACATTTAGTGAAGACAAATGTGAAGTTCAATGCTAAAATTTTCAAGGAAAATTTACCCAATAAAGAAGTAGATGATGTATGTATGACCTTTGGCTGATGTAAAAGACCAAAATATCAACCAATAAACAGCATGACGTGGCACCTAAAACCCACGAGACCTTAGACTACAGACTTGTCGAAAACAAAAGCAGTTTTATTTTATTTTCCTCTATGTTGGTCCAACCCCATCTAGAGTAACTGTTTAGTTTGGGCATGACATTTGAAAAAGGGCGTGGATAAATCTACCCCATATATCACCTATTTTAAAAAGAGAGAGAGAGAAGCTTCTGTTAACATATAACAAAGACAGCAGAAATACACATTCATCCACAGGAGAACAAATGGAGAAAATAGGATTTTGAGGAATGGTTTAAAACCTGAGAGGGATATTTAACTTGAAAAAAAGAAAAAAGCATATGCATCTTGATAAAAGTGATGGCGGTGGTTGTGTGTTGTGTGTTGTCAAATCGGTTCTGACTCATAGTGACCCTGTATAGGGGTTCTGAGGCTCTAGATCTTTACAGGAGCAGAAAGCCTCATCTTTCAATCATGGAGCAACTGGTAAATTTGAACTGCTGGCCTTGCAGTTAGCAGCCCACTACCTCACCAGGGTTCCTTGATAATAGTCTTTGTCATTAAAAATGCATTGAACACATAGCCCAGTGCCAGGCATTATGCCAAGTTTTATGTGATGGTTGTCACCAAATATCTGGAAGGCCATCTTGTAGAAGAATCGACATACTCTGGGTAACTTGAAAGCATGGAATTAGGAATAATGAATGGAAGACTTTAGAAGGGTACTGATTCAGTTACACATAAGGTAGAACTAGCTTAGAATTGGTGCCATCTAATGATTGATGGAGTCCTGGTGTGGTGCCGCAGGATAATGCGTTGGGCCGCAAGGTCAGTTTGAGGCACAAGGTTGCCAGTTCAAATCCACCAGCCACTCCTCAGAAACCCTATATAGGGTCGACTATGAGTCGGAACCAACGAAATGGCACTTAACAACATCAACAATAATTGATTAGTCGACCTTAGAAGGAAGCAAGAGTCCCATCACACCAGACATGTTTAAGAAGAAACCCAATTCTTGACTATAACCTGTAGAAAGGATTTCGAATTATTTCATAGTAAAAAGACTCCATAGGTCTTTCATCTATATTCTCTCCTGCTTATGCATGATGTTTGGCTGTACAGGAGAATTAGCTGCAAGCACCTTAGCTTTGACGGCAAGAAGAATTCTATTGTACGCATGGTATGTCATTTCTGAACACTAATATGTTATTTGGCCTCAGCTGCTGGGTGGGAGGGCAGGCGGAACATGGCCAGTCCCTGGACGGGGAAGGAGAATGAGTGGTCTACAAAGGCTCAGGGGCAGGATTCAAAGATCTTGAACACTGATTCTCCCCCTAAGCTAGGCTTCTTGCTTCGTGATAAAGAAGACTCCATTCACTATACAAACGGTTCCCCAGACAAGTACTCTTCAGCAAGAGTAATTAGTGTAGTCTCAAATGAACTTCCCAAGTGTTCACGCAGGCTGCTTCTTAGTTCTGGAAGGCCTTCCTCTCATTTCTGACCACCTTCTGCCTACCACATGTCTTTCCTCTAACAAAGAGATACTGGAATCCCAAATTCCATCTTGGGAGTTTAGCCTACTCACTTGAGTAGCATAAACATTTTTTCCCCCAATTTCTATTCTCATTCGAACTCAGATTCTTTAAATAATCCCCCTATCCTTCAGATTCTGACAGTCCTTTATGTATAAAATTACCAAATGCAATCCAGAAGGGTTTAAAATGGTCTTTCTATTGAATAAAGTCCTTTCAATGTGGTTTCTATGATGTTGCTAACTTCCTTTCAGTCATAGATTTTTCCAAAAGTTTTACTTTGGACCTTATCCAAAAGATAATGTTATTGATGCAAACAATAAGAGACAAGTACGCAAAGAATTCCTGAGGTTTCTTACCAAGCAAATGGGCAGGAAGACAGCCAGTCTGACTGATTCGCTGAGGGTAGGTATTCATCAACTTTGTTCTCACATAGGCATGCAGCTGCTGATATAATGGTTTAATCTGAAAAGTCAAGAAAGAATGTTTAAGAACAAGGGTGCAGATTCCAAATCCCCAACGTTAGATACAGTAGCTCCTTTAAGCCATACACATTTTCCTAAAGAAAAAGGCAACATTTTTTTCTTCTCTCAAATATTCTGTTATTGTTAAGTGCTGTTGAATCGGTTCCGACTCATGGTGACCCTGTATAAGGTTTCTGAGAAGCAGCTACTGGGTTTGACTGTTGTGTGGTTAGCAGTCCAGTGTTTATCCTACAATGCCACACCAGGACTCCTGAAATATTCTGGAGAGCTAAAAAACATTCCTTCTTTTCAGCCTTATACCTTAAGGAACACAAGGACCCAAAATGAAAGCAGCTGCAGAAAAAGAAAATTCATTTTAAGATGTTACCTACTTGCTTTTTAAGAACTGAGGTATAACGGGGTCCAATTGACAACAGCAACTCACAAGATTAGACCAGAACCTTACAGGTCAGTGAGTTCCTGTTAATGGAGAGAAACTCACTAATCAGTGTCACTGAATCGTACATGTAGAACTGTTGAATTGGTATTTGTTTTGTTGTGTATCTCCTCAATAACAACAACAACAAATAAAATAGAATTTTAAAACCCCTAAGGAATAATGAAAGGAGCTCTGGTAGCGTAGTGGTTACGAATCGGGCTGTGAACCTTAAGGTCAGCAGTTTGAAACTACCAGCTGTTCCACGGGAGAAAGATGAGGCGTTCTGCTCCCGTAAAGATTTACGGCCTCGGAAACCCTGTACAGGGTCGCTATGGGTTGGAACCGACTCGACGGCACTTAACAACAACAACAACAACAAGGAATAATGAAAAAAAAAATCAAGTATAATCTACATTCCAGAAAATGCAACCATTTGGAGACTTAATAAATTTATATATAGCTTCTCAATCATATCACCATTGCCAACACCCCCCAAACTTTTCTGTGCCCTTTTGCAATGAATCACATGCCCATTTCTAGTCTCATGACTTTGGTCCCTATAATTTTATAGAAATTGAATAATACAAGATGTGATCTTTTGTTTTGCTTCTTTTACGTGGCATAACATTTTTGGAGGCTCATTACGTTGTTATCGATATCAACAGTTAATTCTTTCATTAACAAGGAGTTCTGGTAGCATAGTGGTTACGAGTTGGGCTGCTAACCTCAAGGTCAGAAGTTCGAAACTTCTGTTTCCACAGAAGAAAGGTGAGGCTTTCTGCTCCCGTAAAGATTTATAGCCTTGGAAACCCTGTAGAGGGTCACTGTGAGTCGGAACTGACTCCATGGCACACCAGCAAACCACCACCACCACTGCTAACCTGGAGTCCTGGTGGGGCATTGTAGGATAAGCACTGGACTACTAACTGCAAGGTTGGCAGTTCAAACCTTGCTGCTTCTTGTTGTTGTTGTTGTTGTTATGTGCCATCGAGTCAGTTTCGACCCATAGCAACCCTGTATAGGGTTTCCGAGGGTGTAAATCTTTAGACACCCTATTATTCTCTAAAATCCCTTCAAGATCTAATCGTTTATGATTTTATAGGGCCAGGGAATGGCAGAAGAGTGTTCTGGGAGCAAGCAGGGAGTCCTTCAGTCATTACCTCATCTTCCTGGGCACTGCCCCACATCTGTCTCTGTGGACAGAGCCTAGCTTACCTTTTCAAAGGTATGCTCCACATCTTCAATCAGCTGGCTGCGCTTATAGTCATTTGTTTCATAATCTCCTCTCCAATAATCCCCATAGTCCTCATAACCTATAAAAAACAAAAAGAGAAAGAGGAGAACATAAAGAAAGAAAGAAAACACAGTATTACATAAACTAGCTTTAGTGGGAAGTTAAAGAAATCTGAAGTTTTATCACATTTTTATTGCCCTTCTAAACATCCACCCTACTAAACATCCTACGGAGCATGGTAGTTATGTAGCATAAGCACTGGACTTCAAACCAGAAGGTCGGTGATTTGAGCCCACCAGCCACTCGGAGGAAGAAAGATGAGGTTTTCTGGGCCTGCAAAGATGCACAGCCTTGAAAACCCTATATAGGGTCGCTATGAGTTGAAACCGACTCTACAGCACTTAATAGCACAGATATTGGTGTCACAGCTGCTAATTGAAAGACCTGGCGATCGGTTCCCATCAAGGTTGTTGTCATTGTTGTTGTTAAGTGCCGTCGAGTTGGTTTCGACCCATAGCGACCCTGAACAGGGTTTCCGAGGCTATAAATCTTTACGGGAGCAGATCGCCTCATCTTTCTCCTGCGGAGCAGCAACGTCAAAAACCCAATGTAACACTGAGTTCTACACTGAGCTCTACTCTGAGCCCAACTTAACTCACCAACACCCAACAACAACAGCTGTTGTTGTATGCCGTGGAGTCAGTTTCGACTCATACAGGGTTTCCAAGGCTGTAAATCTTTATGGGAACAGAATGCCTCATCTTTCTCCCACGGAATGGCCTTTAGTTTCAAACTGCTGACCTTATGGCTCGCAGCCTGATTCGTAACCACTATGCTACCAGCTAGGTCCCTGTTTGTGTGCTAAATACTAATCAAAAGGTTGTCAGCTCCAACAAAATCAGCAGCACTAGGGAAGAAAGGCCTGTGGTGATCTGCTTGCATAAAGTTTGTTGTTGTTGTTGTTGTTGTTAAGTGACATTGAGTCGGTTCCAACCCATAGCAACCCTATATACGGTTTCCAAGGAGCAGCTGGTGAGCTTGAACCGCCGAACTTGTGGGTCAAACCAACTTTGCCGTCCAATGCATTAACCCACAGCGCCACATCAGGAGTCCTGCATAAATATCATAGCCAAGAAAACCCGAAGGCACTCTAATCTGTTGCTGCTCTTAAGGTGAAGTCACCTGTCCAACGTCACACAGGTAATAAGGGGCAGTTGCTCACTCTGATTCTTTCCAGAGGTCAGTTTGCATCTTCAAAACTTTTGCTCTGTGTCTTCTGTTTTCACATTGATCTCAGCATATCTTAGACCTTGCCACCACCGGTCTGGTTTTGCAGTCAAATTGTATGCAAACCATACGCAAATTGCATGCCTTTGCAACACATCTTGGCATGCTTTCTTTAGTGTCTCTCCACCAAGAAACGTGAGCTTGTGTTAGGATATCCGCGAATCAAGTTGGCAAACACATTTTAGTAGCCTTTCATTTTATAAGCACATCAACAGTGAATGATCAGGCAAATGAGGAGAGAAATACTTAGATGGAAGGATTCGCAGGATATTATTATTTTTTAAATTGTTGACCAACTACTGTCTCCGGCTAATAGCTTGAGAATGAGGCTTAGTGACTGGGGAAGAAATTTATAAAAGACAGATAAAAAAGTTCTTTTTCACTCAGCCTGAAGTTGCTAATAATGCTGTGACATCAGCTCAATATTCAGGCAAGAGCATAAATCAAGAGATGTAGAAATGACGCCTCATGTTAAGATTTTTATGACCACATGATTTGAGTTAAAAGCTGTTGGTGTGTTGTTGTTGGGGTCTGTTGAGTCAGTAGAATGTCATTTTTATGGAAGGAGCGGCTCCTTAGGTCTTTCTCCCATGGAACCACTGACTGGGTTCGAATCGCTAATCTTATGGTTTGCGACCGAGTGCTTAACTGTTGCGCCAGCAAGTCTTCTTGAATTATCATGACAACTGCAGAAAAGAATGGGTTGCAGCCTAGATGAACTTGACTTTTTTCTTTCTGGGACAACACCCTGAAGTAGACCCCCAAATGACCTTTGAGAGTGAACTGTGGGTCAGGTAGGTGAGGACACTTCCCTGGGAACTCTCAGGGAACTTAGGTTTTTCTGGATAATTGTTTCCTTTGAGGTTCTGTAGAACAGTTTTTTCCCCTGGGATTTTGAAATTGTACAATGTCAAGATACTTTTCCCTCTTTCCCTGTGACTTCTTGGAGCAGGTACCCTGAGTTACTCAGTAGATGAATCTGAATTTAAAGGTTGTCTTAATGTCAAAGGGCAGATTTGGTCATGCATGAGAACTAGCCCTGTGACCCATTGAGAGCTTTTGTTGTTATTGTTGTTGTTAAGTGCTGTTGAGTCAGTTCCAACCCATAGCGACCCTGTATAGGGTTTTCGAGGAATGAGCTTGAATCAACGACCTTGCGGTTCAAACCAACCAGGAGTCCCTTTGTTGTTGTTAAGTGCCATCGAGTCGATTCTGACCCATAGCGACCTTGTATAGGGTTTCCAAGGAGCAGCTGGTGAGCTTGAACCACTGACCTTGCAGTTCAAATGACTCTGCAGTCCCTTTAGGGCCTTAAAAACAACAAAACCCACTGCTGTTGCTTGCATTCTGACACAGGGCGACCCATCTGTTACTGAGGAGGACTGCTCCATGGGGTTTTCTTGACTGCAATCTTTACAGAAACAGATGGTGGTGGCGGTGGTTGTGTGACATGAAGTCGGTTATGACGCACAGTGATCCTGTATTGTTGCTGTCAAGTGCTGTTGCTGTCAGTTCCAACTCATAGTCACCCTGTATAGGGTTTTCGAGGAGCAGATGGTTAGTTTAAACCGCCAACCTTGCAGTTCAAACCAACCTGGTGGTCCAGTGCTTATCCTACAGCGCCACCCCAGGATCATTTGTGCCGCTAAGAGACCCTCTTAGGACCTCTGGAAGCCGGCAAACTTACCATTCTCTTTTGCCATCTCATTTTTCAAGTCCACATATTCTTCATATAGTGGCCTCAGCTGCCTGCCGACCTCATACCTCCAGCCTTCCCACGCCCAGAGCCTCTGGTCATAGTCAGTGCTGTTTTCCATTATGCGATCCAAGCCTGTTATTGCAAAACACCCATCAATACTATTTAAATAAACACATACTGTAGAATTTTTATTTGTAAACTATCATATAAGCTGTTAAGAGCTAAAAGTGAGACTGCAGAGAGCAAGCAGTGAGATTTAAAAAAAAAAAAAAACTTTACAATTTTGCTCTCTGCAGTCTCACTTTAAGTTACTGTTGTTGTTAAGTGCCAGCAAGTTGGTTTCAATTCATAGTAATCCTGTAAAGGTTTCCAAGGAGCAGCTGGTGGGTTTGAACTGCCGACCTTGTGGTCCACAGTCCAGTGGTGGAATACTAGAGCCAGTCAAAAAGCATTGTTACTAGGGTTCCAGTTGATACATGTCCCAACTGATTCCAAATAAAATGTGGTTAGTTACGTGGATGGCTACAAACAAGTTCTCTCTGTAATATGCTTGTCTTAAACTCATTGTGGTACCTTTGAAAAAGGGAGTACTTTTGGTGCTATGGAAAAAAATGATTTTGTGGTTAGGGCTAATGTTAAATTTTTAACAGAACTAAAGTAGACATCTGTTCAAATCATTGAAGATTTGCAACACATTTAAGGAAATGTTACCTCTGGTAGCGTAGTGGTTACGAATCGGGCTGCTAAGCTTAAGGTCAGCGGTTCGAAACTACCAGCTGCTCCGCGGGAGAAAGATGAGGCTTTCTACTCCCGTAAGGATTTACACCCTCGGAAACCCTGTACAGGGTCGCTATGGGTCGGAACCGACTCGAAGGCACTTAACAACAACAACAACAACAACCCCACATAAAACAACAAATTTTAAAAATGAATTAAGCATTTCAAGGAAGACTGGGAAGATCTCACAGATGAATTCAAGTCAGAGAGGTCAGCTCAGAAGGTTATACCGACTGGATTTGGGGATTTCTAAGGGGTAATTTTGATAGTTTCTCTTGAAGGACACAGCATTGTTACAGAGGCTTATTCAGAAGGAGTTTTATGAAAATGGAAAACTGCATTGGTGAGAAAAAAGTCAAGAAATTGGAGGTGAGGAATGTTTTTCCATCATCCCAGTGCACTTGCTTACTCCTCAATGGTAGCAAATGCTATCCTATGAGAATTTTGTTAGAAAACATGACCCATTCACCGTACAACCCTGATCTTGCTCCTTAAGCCTTCTTTTTGTTCCCCAAACTCAAAGAACACTGAAAAGGAAGATGATTTGAGTCCCTGAAGGGTGTCAAAGCTGTTGGTTGACGTGGTGTAACTCGAAGAGCGCAGAATACTTTGGGGAAGGGTTAGAGAGATGGAAACACCGCCTTCAGAAGTGTATGTGCCTAACGGAGCAGATGTTGAGAAACAATAGCTTCAAATATTGATTTGTTGTTGTTGTTTTTTAATAAAGGTTTCTATGATTTCATGGCAATACTTTTTGATTTATCATCATATACATCACTGGAAATAATGATCAACTTCATGAAATTACTTGAAAGGGACACATTTTACCATGAGATTTTGTTATCTATCGTCTTGGGATTTTCCATGAGAGAGCTCTTAGAACTTGGGAGAAAAAAAGTAAACTTTATAGTCAATACTTTAAAGCAATAATGGGGACAGTAGTTGTCCAGTGGTAAATGATTCCCTTCCACTGGCTCAATTCTTGGCCAATGTACCTCATGTACCGTCGCCACCCATCTGTCAGTGGGAGCTTGCGAATTGCTATGAGACTGAACAGGCTTCAGTAGAGCATCCAGACTGAAACAGACTAGGAAGAAAGACCTGGCAATCTGCTTCCCCAAATCAGCCAGTGACAACCCTATGGATCACATCAGTCTGACCCAAAACTGCTCATGGGGATAATGCAGGGCTGGGGGATGTTTTGTTTCATAGTGCATGGGAACCAACTCCATGGCAACTAATAACAGTAACTCAGAATGAACAGCCTACCTGGTTCAAGTAATAGACACTCCTGTGGATTGCTTGGATTACAAGCTTTTCCGGTACTGTAGATGGTGCTCATTGTGTTTAGGATTGTGTCCAACTGTAAATTAAAGATAATAAGCAATGTGAAAATAGAAAATACGCATAAGCGAATGATAATATCAGATGTCCTTTTTGGCCGAATGATTATCATTTCTTTTTTATGCCTTCACATCTTCCATTGTTCTGTTACCCCACTGCCAACTAGCTCGAGAAGGCAGAACCACGTTGGAGGTTACGTCATTTTAATTAAGTCGTAGGAGAATCAGTTGGTTACTTAAAGGGACCCACATGGAACTGCTGTCTTTGGAAGAGATGAGCCACCCATCCCTGAGCTGTGGCTGTTCCTCACTGGATAAAGAAGCTACAGGGGAGAGCCAAGAATGAAAGAGGGCAAGGAATAGACAACATACAAGGTTTCTCAAGGTTGGCACAACCCACATTTTGGACCGGATAATCTTTGCAGTCCTGGTGTGGCCCTGTGGGTTAATGTGCTGGACTGCAATGCTGGTTTCAATCACAAGGTCAGTGGTTCAAGCTCACCAGTCACGCCTCAGAAACCCTCTAGTGCGTCGCTCTGGTTCGGAACCAACTCAACAGCACTCAACAACAGTCTTTGCATTGGGAGGCTTTCTGTGCACTGTTGGATGTTTAGCAGCAGCCTGGCCCATTAGATGCCAATTGCACTACCTAGTTGTGAGAGCCAGAATTTGTCAAACATCTCCAGAACCACTGACATAGATTAAGTAGATTCTTTAGACAGCATGGTCTTCTGGAAGATGGACATCATAGGATGCCCACACATACCAGATGACCTGGGACAACCCCATTTTAACTCAGGATCCTACTGTAATTATGACCAGCTCCTCCTTGTACTCTCACAAGGGTTCAGCTTGACAAATAGTATATGCTGTCATGAAGATGAAAGGAGCTCTGGTAGCATAGTCGTTACGAATCGGGCTACTAACCTCAGGGTCAGCAGTTCGAAACTACCAGCTGCTCCGCGGGAGAAAGATGAGGCTTTTTGCTCCCGTAAAGGTTTACAGCCTCGGAAACCCTGTACAGGGTCGCTATGAGTCAGAACAGACTCCACGGCACATAACAACAACAACAATATGAATATGAAACACCTAGAACAGGCGAATGCTTAGAGATCAGAGTTAATACTGGTAACTGGTGGTGGGAGTGAGAGGGAAAGGGGGATCATTTCTTAGGAAACATTGAGCTTCTGTTTATGGTGACTGATAATTTGGCAACAGATACTGGTGGTGGTTGCGCAACATGATTGGTGTAATTTGTGTCCTGAGCTGAACCCATGAAAAGTGTTGAATCAGCAAATATTGTATTAGCTCTGTTTTTATGAATTATAGCTATATAATTACAAAAAAAGGGGGGCGGGGAAGGATGTCCCAGGTTGGAAGATCCATTATATGGTCCCCCTGGTGGCATATGTGGATTACGCATTGGGCTGCTAACTGAAAAGTCAGCAGTTCGATTCCATCAGTTGCTCCGTGAGAGAAAGATGAGATTTTCTGCTCCTGTAAAGATTGACAGCTTCAGAAACCCTGTACAGAGTTGCTAGGAGTTGGAACCGAATTGACGGCACCACCACCTAGACACGGGGTTCTTGTTGAAAGTCAGCATTACTATCTTTACAGATAAAGGAAGTAGCCAGGAGTAATAGGAACATTTAATGCTTCCCAAGCACTTAAACTTGGATGCAGCTCAGTGGTAAACTAGTAAGAAACGTACCCGTTTGCTCTTGTCTGCCGGCAGCGCTGATGACCCACTTTGCTGAAGGATCTGCAACTGAACCTTGATTGTGGAATTTGAAATGTCTTGTAGTGAAAATTTTTTGGCAAGTGTAGATTGTTCTTCATAGAAGGCAGACCATCTGGCCCCAGCTTCACTCTATATGAACAATAAAATAAAATTAAAGTCATAGCAGTGCTGTTTGAATATATAGAACCTAAGATAGAGTCCAAAAAACATCTGGTGGAACATCTAATATTTCCTGAGTGATTTAGTCCTCTTCTTGGCTGAAGGTCAAGGCTTAAGCTAAGGGTGATGAGGCCACTTTTGGTCACTCTCTCTTTCTGGCCCATTTCCTAGCTCTTCTCCCAGAGTCCTGTGGGGCCCTAGAATAACGTGGTCTTAGTGCTGTGACATGGGGAGCTTGGCCAAGAATTCAAGGATGGATGCTGTGATGGAGAATAGAATAAAACTCAGAGGAAACCTAATGGTAATGATGATGGGAAACATGAGAAATAAGACCCTTCACAGGAAGCTCCTAGGTGCCATGATTTGGTCCAGAGATGCTGATCTCAAATTATGATCCCAAATGAAGGTTGCCCAGAATTTTGACATTTGGCTCTTGTGGTGATTTTTCTACCAGCAAAGGAAACTCAGTTGGGATGTAACGTGGTAGAAATATTGTTTGGGAAGAACAGCAATGGACCAGAGAAGAGATGAAGAGGATAGTGCCGGAGCAAATGGGAAAGGATTGCTCTCCTGTCTGAGCCCTCACAACATTGCACGAACTCTACTTCCAATTGCTGTTGAGTCAATTCCTCAAATGGTTAAGTATTTGACTACTAGCTGAAAGGTTGGTGGTTTGAACCCACTCAGAGGTGTCTTGGAAGACAGGCCTGGTCATCCAATTCCAAAAGGTCACAGCCTTGAAAACTCTAGGGAGCATAGTTCTAATCTGACACACATGGGCTGGCCATGAGTTTCAGTAACTACTACTCAATTAGTCTGCATAACAATCTTGTGAAGTAGTTATTGCCTCCAATTCACAAATGAGGACACGAAGGCCACAGAGCAGGTAAGTAATGATCCCTAGGCCATATAGTAAGTACCTGGAACAAGGAACTCAACTCAGCTGTGTTTACCTCCCAAGTTACTGCTCTAACTACTGCCCCGTAGAATGTCCTGAAACCATCTGGTTTTCCTTCTAAGGTGCAAAAGTTGGGATTCCCCAGCACATAGTTGTCTGTACAACTCACAACACCCACCCCCGTTCCTATCCTTCTTCACTCAATCTAGCATGCTTTACTGTCTAGCAGTATTTCTGATAGAATTTAGAAAGCAAATTACACAAATAATTTTATTCTCAATCTACTCTGGAAACAACTCAGAATTCCCTTAAATTCTCAGTCTTAGAACTTTTTTTATTACACTGGATGAGGGGATGTTGAACAAGGACGTTGGAGGTAGGATTTTATTTATCATTACCATCCTAAAATTGGCCTACATTAGATCACAAAGAAAAGTCCGCTATGTTGCCTTTCATTTTGGCCCCCGAGGACATACTATTTCCTCCCAAGCTTCCTTTTTAAATAGTATTTATAACTTATTTCACACCTTTACCCTAAGGCTCCTAAGATCAAATGAAACAGATGGCTTACCAGTTGTGTGGAGAATTAAAGTCAGTTTATACATACCAATTAGATTATTCAGATCTTGGTCGATAGCGATGCATAATTTTGGACCTGAATTATGGATGAAATGAATACAGCAGTTGATACAGCTCCAAGGCTCTAAGAAGCCATTCTAGGGAAGACAGGTAGAACTCCACAGTGGCTCTGTGCAAAGGTGGAGGGCAGCAACAAAGCTACAGACGTTTCTACAGCAATAGATGTGGGTTTGGGAACTAGCCACACATTGTTCAGGACAACAGTGAGGAATCCAAAGGTTCCCAGATCCCCTAGCTGTTGTTGTTGTTGGGTACCTGTTGCTGGGTGACCCCGTGGAACTGTCCCATAAGGTACTCTTGATTGTAATCTTTACAAAAGCAAATCGTCAGGTCTTTCTCCTGCAGAGTCACTGAGTGGATTTGAACCATCAATCTTTTGGTTACCAGATGAATGCTTAACCATTGTACCACTACTGGATACCATATTCCCATCCTGTGAGAGATCCTTTGTAATTCCAAGAACAGAAAATGTAAAATCTTAGGGTTCATTTTTTAAACATTCCAAAAGATATCCTGTTCTTTAAAGCCCTAACTTAATGCATAAATTGTAATCCCTATGCCGTACACATGGTTAATGTACTTGGCTCCTAACCAAAAGCCTAGTGGTGTAAGTCCACCCAGAGACACCAAGGAAGAAAGGCCTGGCGACTCTCTGAAAATTCATCCACTGAAAACCCTATGGAACACAGTTCTACTTTGACACACATGGGATCACCAAGTCGGAGTCTGCTCCACCACACTGTACTGGTGGATGCCCAGCATTCTTCCTATGTGTTTTGATCAATTAGTAATTGCACCAAATCTAGATGCAAGTGAACATATCATTTTTGGTGCTCAAGTTCAATTTCACTGAGGTTAGTCGCTCAAGTTTTCATGACAAGAAAAACTAGTATGAACAAGGCTTCCAATGTACATGATTTATGTTGAGTCAGACCTAATTCTCAACAGACAACTTATTTATTCACAGTTGTCATCTACTGAGAGAGCTTGGCTTTGCCATCATCTTCCTTACATTACAAGAAAAAGGAAATCAGGGAAGTACCTGGTCTGAGGCATCACAGGCAGCTCAGGTAAATCAGAAGAGTACCAGATTTCCTAACTTCCTCTGTACTTGAGGACTCCCTGACTGGTGCAAAAGGTTAGGGGTTTGAGTCCACTCAGAGGTGCTTCTTAAGAGCACAGTTCTACTCTGACACACATGGGGTCACCTTGAGTTCATTACTACTTAATGACAACTGGTTTATTATTTTAAAGTCTTTGCCGACAACTTGATATAAGAATTTCCCTTCCAGGTCAGGCCCATAGACTGACAAGCCCAATATTTTGACTTTGAAAGTTACACCACGGGGCAATTTGGGAATGAGATTGTCCTCAATAATGTCATCCTGATTGAGTACGAACATGCACAAGTCATGTTATTCGGTTTTGTTGAGTTGGTTCCAACCCATAGTGACCCTATTTACAGCAAAACAAAACACTGCCCAGTCCTGTGTTATTCTCACAATCCTTGGTGTGTTTGGGCTCATTGTTGCAGCCAATGTTTGTCAGTCCATCTTGCTGAGGGCCTTCCTCTTTTTCGATGACCCTTTACTTTATGAAGCATACTGTCTGCATACAGGCACTGGTACCTCTTGATGACATGTCCAAAGTACTTGACAGGAAGTCACACCATCCCTCCTTCTAGGGAACATTTTGACTATACTTCTTCCAAGACAGATTTGCTTATTCTTCTGGCAGTCCATGGTATATTCAATATTCTTCACCAACACCATCGTTCAAATGCATCAATTCCTCTCCAGTCGTCCTTATGTATTGTCCAGTTTTCACACTTATATGAGGCAATTAAAAATCCAACCACATATTGTATTGGGAAAAAGACCTCTTTAAAGTGTTAAAAAGCTTGGCTCAGGTGCACCGTAGTCCTCAAAGTATCATCTTTGCTTTTTAACACTTTAAAGAGGTCTTTTGCCCAATGCTATATGTGGTTGGATTTCTTGACTGCTCTGACATGGGTGTTGAGTGTAGATCCAAGTAAAATAAAATCCTTGAAAACTTCAACAATTTCTCCATTTATTATGATGTTGTTTATTGGTCCCGTTGTGAGGATTTTGTTGTTGTTGTTGTTGTTCTTTTAATGTTAAGGTGTAATCCATACTGATGGCTGCGGTCTGTGATCTTCATCAGTAAGTGCTTCAAGTCCTCTTCACTTTAAGCAAGCAAGGTTGTGTTATGTGCATTTGCAGGTTGTTAGGAGTCTTCCTCCAGTATTGGTGTGGTGTTCTTTTTCATATAGTTCAGCTTCTCACCTTACAGATTGAGTACGTATGGTAAAAGGGAAGGGAGAGTAATTCACTGGCTAGATGGTAGGTAGACACGTGTTAACTTGGGTGACCCCAAAAAAAGTATGGTGAAAGAGTACAACCCTGATGTACCCCTTTCCTGATTTTAACCATGCAATGTCCCCTTGTCCTGTTTAAATGACTGCCTCTTTGCCTATGTGCAAGTTCAACATGAGCACAATTAAGTGTTCTGGAATTCCCATTCTTTGGGATACTATCCATAGTTTGTTATGATCCACCCAGTTGAATGCTTCGGAATAGTCAATAAAACACAGGTAAACATCTTTCTGATACTCTCTGCTTTCAGCTAAGATCCATCTGATGTCAGCAGTGATATCTCTTGTTCCACATTCTCTTCTGAATCTGGCTCGACTTTCTGACAGCTCCCCTTACTGCTCACAACCAGTTTTGAATTATCTGCAGCAAAGTTATTAATGATGTTGCTCAATAATTTCCCAATTCCTTGGATCATCTTTCTTTGGAATGGGCACAAATATAGTTTTCTTCTAGTCAGTTGGCCAGGTAGTTGTCTTCCAAATGTCTTGTGTCAGTTAGTTGAATCAGCTCAGTTGATAGTCTGTCGATTCCTGGGCCCTTATATTTCACCAATCTCTTCAGTGAAACTTGGACTTCTTCCTTCAGTATCGTTGTTCATACGCTACCTCTTGAAATGATTAAATTTAGACCAATTCCTTTTCAGTACGGCGATTCTGTGTATTTTCCCCATATTCTTTGATGATTCCTGCAGTGTTCAATATTTTGCTCATAAATTCACTGTTGTTGATTTGATTCGGACTCAGAGTAGAACTATCCCATAGGGTTTCCAAGGCTGTCAATTTTTACAGTAGAAGACTGTCACATTTTCTTCCTTCAGAGGGCTGGTGAGTTAGAACTGCTACCTTTCTGTTAGCAGCCAAGCACTTAACCACTGCATCACCAGGACTTCTTTCAATATTGCAACTTGAAGCTTGAATTTTTTTTTTTTTTCTTCAGTTCTTTCTGTTTGAGAGACATCAAGTGTGTTCTTCCCTTAGGGTTTCTAACTCCAGATCTTTGCACATTTCATTATAATATGTTATTTGGTCTTCTCAAGC